GTTCAGACAGTAAGTACTCCACAAGCAACATATTCTTCACACAATAACTGTAATACTCTAATCTTTTATCCTCATTCCAGACAGCAGAGAGGAGTGAGTCTCGTCTCAAAAGCAATGTCATCGACCTGGAGCTCTTACTCTCACAGCTGTCCAAGCCCGACGGCCCTCATGACCTGCCACAGGACCAGATGCTCCTCCTCCAGAACCAGTTACCTGTGAAGACTAATGAGAGCGCGTCTACTCCAGGTAATGTACTGCAACGATTACGATGAATTTGATTTATTTACTATCGTCATTCACAAATACCATTACTATCATTATTTATCCTTATTAGCATTAGTATTATTAATTTACGACCACTGTGTACACTTAAAACGGTACGTATTTCCGGGTGTAGGAGTATTCTGAAGATACTCCGCGCTGACTTCTTTTTAGTGAATGAATACTTTGTTGATATCAGATACAGCGACCGGCAAGAGGGTGCTGCGCCTCGCCGTGTTCTCCGACGACGCCCTCCTGAACCACCTCTCCGACCTCTACCCCGAAGACCCGCTCACCGCCACCGAGAAATACATCACCACGGGCGTTTTGGCGGTATGTATCGAGTGCAGGGGGGGGGGAAGGGAGAGAGAGAGAGAGAGAGAGAGAGAGAGAGAGAGAGAGAGAGAGAGAGAGAGAGAGAGAGAGAGAGAGAGAGAGAGAGCAGTAACGCGGGATTATCTGCCACTAAGACTAGTAGTGTCTAGTAATAGGAAAAAAATATATCCCATAACTTTAATTTACTTTTTAAACTCGAATAATCCTTCACAGATCGAGAAGCTCATGCAACAGGCCGTGGATGAGGGCGTGGAGTTCAAGATAAAGCTGGTGCAGGTGGGCGTGTGGGCTGAGAAGGGGGCGACGCCCTTCAACACCAACGGCCTTTCATCCAGTAACTTGCTGAACTTCTGCGAGTGGGCGAGCGAGAGGAAGCCCGGGCGCGGCGATCCCGGGTACTGGCACCACGCCATGATGTTGACAGGGTGAGTAGCTTCTCATACAGCGTGGAAATTTCACGTCACAAAGGTCTGAAATCTGTAGTTCCTTCGGAGGGTCCCCAGACAGAGCCAGAGGAGGCTGTGGCGCATGCTGAGGGGAGAGATCTGGCCGCACTGACCGTGCACATGGTTCACGACGGCATTGTAAGGACCCGCTTTCGCTCTGTTCCTCAGGAAGGAACTGTTCGAGACGACGAAGGACTCTCTGGGCGTGACCTTCGTGGGCGGCCTGTGCCACCCTCGGACGTCGTGCTCCGTGGTCGAGGCCAACTCCTTCAAGGCCGTCCAAGTGGCCGCCCACGAGCTGGCGCACTCCATGGGCGTCCCGCACGACGGCGAGGGGGCGGCCGCCCGCTGCCCCAGCGAGGGCTTCATCATGGGCCAGTCGCTCTCCGAGGAGACCTTCGACTGGTCCAACTGCTCGCGGGACGCCATCAGCGCCTTCCTCAAGTAAGCATTTTTCAAATAATTTTCTTGATATTTTATAATGCCTAATTTTTTTTTTATCATCGTCCATGGAAAGTAAATAAGTGTGGAAAGCTTGTCTAGATGATTTATGTTGAAAAGAGAGAGAAAAGCGAATTCCAAATATCCAGTTATTGTTTTTATGTGTGGGTGGAGGCATGAATTGAAATTTTGTGTTGACCATCTCTTTGTCAGGATTATAAAAAGAGAAAACTTAGATTGACTGAAAAATGGGGTCAATTATCAATCAATAGTTCCACAGGACGAACTCTGGGGAACCTAGTTTTCTTACTAACTTTCAAATACAGACCCTACACAAGTAAACTTAAGAAAAATAGGATTTACAAACTTATAACCAAACATAAACATAAACTGCACGAATGAGCTATTCTTCGGGTAATAGCAGCGCCCATTGTATCATACCCCTTCTTTTTAGGAATGATACATGCTTAGAAAGAGAGGAAGATGGCAAGGGGTATCGAGGCCTAGACCATACCCAGGGAGGACTTCCCGGCCAGAGGTACACAGCCGACGAACAGTGTGCTTTGGCACTTGGCACAAGCTACAGGGCTACTCCGTCGAAAAGGGTGAGTTTTCTGTCAAACATTCTGTGTAAATCGTCCTTGTTTCCTCACTTCATGTTTGTATTGATTATAGATATTTGAAAAATATGTATTTATTTAGGTGTACGTCATGGACTCTCGTAGTGTTTTCTTTCGAACGACTTTTATTCGACAAGAAAAAGAGACTGGACCTATACATTCAACTGAGACAATTCATATCAATAGCACGCAATCCTATCTCAGAAAATAGGCCCCTTTTCCACAAAGCTGACAACGAATCCCCCATAACAGAGTATATGTGAGTATCTCATGTGCACCAACGGCGTGACGACCCGCGGAACCCACCCGGCCCTCCCCGGCACCTCCTGCGGGAACAACCGAGTGTGCGTCGCAGGCCAATGCAGGGCAGGGGGAGGCGGAACTCGACCGCCCAGTCAACCCAGCCCACCGAGCAACCCTGATAGGCCTCCTACCTGGCCTCCTAGCAACCCTCCTACCTGGCCTCCTAGCAACCCTGACAAACCTACCTGGCCTCCTAGCAACCCTGACAAACCTACCTGGCCTCCTAGCAACCCTGACAAACCTACATGGCCTCCTAACAACCCTTACAAGCCTCCTAACAACCCTTACAAGCAACCTCCCTCCTAACAACCCTTACAAGCCTCCTAACAACCCCAACAGGCCTCCTAACAGACCTAACAGACCCAGCAGACCCGCTAATAAGCCCGTCCCGTTTAGTGGTGTTGAAGAAACAGATGGAAACATCGTAAAGAAAGAAAAATTCCCACTGGCAACCATTCCTAGTGAGGTAAGTGTATCTCCTAAAAGGCATTATCTATTTTATATGCTTTAAGTCTACTTCCGTATTGTTATTCATAAAGTCTCAGAAAAAGTAAAACCTATGAGAAAACGCACACGCACGCACCCATATAGCAACACAACACACACTATGCGAAAAACACACACGCACACACACATGCAGCGAACCTAAAAGTAACACACACACTACGAAAAAACGCACACACACTCACATACAGCGAACACAAATACACACACTATGAGAAAACGCACACGTACAGACACATACAACGAACACAAACCAACACACGTACACTCACAGTCAAAGTCACAACCACAAACAAACACATTTTTGTCTAATCACGTCCTGATAATTCTCCTCTCACTTCCGCAGCTGGCGAACATACCTATGCCTTACCGGTGTCACTTCATGCCTCCTTTCCTCCACCGTTATATCGGCTGCGGCAATTACCCCAACCGCAACCCTCACTCGCCCGAAGCCCCTGGACGAACTCCTGGATATTTGGACACCACTGCCGAAATTTACGAACATTCTTTGGATGATGAAGAAAGTAAACAAATGCAGGATTCCCCGGTTAGAGGAGAAAATCACGGTCTTATTTTGAGTGACGGCGCTCAAAACCTTTCCTACGGTGAGGAAGCGAAAAATTCATCCATAACTGAGGGAATTCCTGATTATGTTATTAGTGGAGAACTACAGCAGAGCTTGACTTTCACCGGAGTTGAACATTCCACCCATGCTAGCCAAGGTCAGGAGATACTCACCCCCATCCAAGGTCTTCAAAATGTCTCTACTACCATGAATGAAATCGGAGACAACCAGAATTCCACACATCAGGTCCAGCCGCTCCCATCTACCGTACAGCAAGTCCAAGAGGTTATTGCTACCACATACCAAGAGACACCGACCACTACTACTATACAGGGCGTCACTAAGCCTCCTATCACTACAAACAGCATTACAAAGTCTCCTGTCATTGCATACCAAGGCAGTGATTATGATGTCACTACCCATGCGACAAATATGTTCCAGATGTCCGCTGAGCAAATGGCCCCAACTGTCAATGTGGAAGTCGTTCACCCACTCACAACGGAAAATGTTACAAGTGCAGCGACTCCAGCCCTAGGTATGGGATACTCCCTTACATATAATGTCACTGCAGAACAAGTGAGTACAGCTGAACCGGCCACAATGGAGCACCAACAAGCCATTACACAGTCAACTTCCGTAGAAGAGGGAACCACTACAGAACCTGTTACAGAACCAAGCCCCACAAAACTGCCTGAACAAATGTCCATAGAAAAATCTGATACACCACAGAGTACCACAGAACAGCCTGTTGTAGAACTAACAACAGACCAGCGTGTCGAAAAACTAACATCTGCATATCAAATTGCCACAGAACAACCTGCTTTTGAGCAAAATACTGAAGAACCTGATACAAAACTGATTACTACAGAACCACCTATTAAACAAGTTATTGCAGAACAAATCTTAACAGAACAGCTTGGTACTGAACAAACCATTATAGAACAGCCCCATACAGAAAATATCACAGCAGAGGAAATCACTACTGAACATCCCGCAGCAGAAACAACCACAGGGGAACAAATCACTATCAAGGAGGTGACAATAGAGCAACCTACCACAGAACAATCTTCAGAGGAAATCACCACGGAAAAATCTACTAACGAACAGTCTACTACTCCTGAACCAAGTACCACTAAACAAAACCCAGCTGGAGAACCTCCTTCAGTACCGATGACTGCAACGCACGCGGTTTCAGAACAGACCTTCACCAAACCTGTTCAAAATCCCGAGGAAGACCAGAGCGCCAAAGACAACTCGGAGGAAGACCAGAGCAATACCATTTTTTCGGTAGAAGATTTCAACGTCACCGGATCAGGTCTTCACTTCTCCATCCCGTCACACTTGCTGCACAGTTTCTTGGGTCCTGTGCTCATGGGATCCCTGGCGAAGGACGCGCCAACGCCCAAAGGACGTCTGAAGGATAAACATCTTTTCAAGGAAAGCTTCGGTCATCAACGTAATGCGTTTGCAAGGTAAGGTGTTTTCGTTAATGCTTATAATTGTCTGTATATTTATTCAACTCTGATTGTATTCTTAGACAACTGCGGAATTCATATACATTACAGGTACTTTAATATTACCTGTTAAAGAAACATTTATCATGCCATTTTTTAGTCATATACACACGGCCCTCTTCCCTCCCCCCTTAAAGGATCGCCAATCTCCGGGAGGGGCATCATCAGGCGCCTGTAGTAGCTGCCACTGCGCCCACCAACACACGCGCTATTCGTATCAGCCCTTGTTCCCGCACGTGTGGAGGCGGGACGCGTTCAGTCGCCCAGGTAAATTCTAAATACATATCTATAACCACTTCTTGTATATACGATTACCGTCATCCAGTCGTAGTTATGAACATCTTAACAACATTATGCCCGTTGTTGACAGGTGTGTGTCAAGATGGACTCTCCAGAGGTCGAAGTTTCGGAGGAGTTGTGCGACGGCCTTCCTTACTCCTTCTCGCCCTTCAACCAGTCCTGCAACACTTTCCCTTGTTCGGTTCCCAAGTAAGTATTTCATTCAGTATTCTTTCCGTCACACACACACACACACACACACACACACACACACACACACACACACACACACACACACACACACACACACACACACACACACACACACACACGTTCGTTCATGCATATCAAAATGCATAGTTCGCCACTCCAATCTCAACCGATAACGAATTACATTTTACTTCCCCTCAGATGGGTAGTGGGTCCATGGAGTGCGTGTTCTGACTGGTGCGGTCTGGGCATCCAGCGTCGATTTGTGGCATGCGGCCTCCCCCTGGTTGCGGGAACGTCGCCCCTGGCTGCGGGTCGCTTCCTGACGCCGGCCCGGTGCGCAGGGGCCCATCCGACGGAGGTCAGGCTGTGCAAGGGGCCCTGCGTGGAAGGTAAGGCGAGGCGAGCCGCTCGACCCGCCTGATCAATGTCGGGCGTCGCATCGAGAGACGAACGGGCGGGATCGTACTCATCTAATTCTGTCTATGATTTTAAGGATGGTTATATTGATGCTAATGAGTAGGACTTTACCTGTTGGGATATATATTTTCTCTTTCATCGCCATACCTATGTTTCACAATTATATCTTACAATCATTCTGTAACCCACAGTGGACTGTACTGTACCTGGAAATGCCCTACACCCTGCCTGCCGTCATCTTCTTAAGGACACGCCCTTGGAGAAAGACCACGCCCGCCAGAGCTCCCTCAGATGAAACGCCGTAAATTAGTTAATTAAACTGTTAACCTGAATTTGGCCGAAGAACTGTTTAAAGCAGTATCTATAATAAGTATTTGCAATATGTGAAGTACAATATGTACTATGTGTATTATAAGAACTGATGTTGGATTTTGATAATGTTCAGAATTCATCAATGCCAGGGTTTGTGATAATTGAAAACGTAATTTAGGCAATTATTTATTTATGCAATGCATTATTAACTTATTTTGAAATAATAAAATAGTTTGTAGATTTCCGTATTTCATTTTTACACGAAAACCCCTTATACTTCTAAAAATAACGCGAGAAAGACACTGCGCGTGTGAGAAGAGTCACACATGCAGCCGTTATAATTAATACATTGAACAAAGGTTTCATGTCAGTGGGTACAGAACAAACGCATGTATGTATTTCTCCGTCTTCCTTTACCCGGGACTGTACTCTGCGTATATAAATTTAGATACCGTACCCTTTGACTTTATACTGATGGATGCCATTAACCATGAGATATCGGTGCTAAAACATATCGATAAAAAAGTACAAATTACTTGTATGGAAAGTAAAGACACTATAGGTATTGATTGAAGGTGATGTAACTAAACGTTTCTTGCGAAATGAAATATCCTTCCTGCATGTTGGGATATCTAGATCTCGCAGCTTTATAGATTAATGGATAGTAAAAACTGTTATAATACATTGATAGTCAAACTTGAGTTATCTATTTCCGTAATCATAAAATTGGGTATTATTCTCACCACACCTTTCCCGTGTCGCAGAGACGTGAAATCAACCTCAACTTCTTTTAATTTAACCGGGAAAACATTTGTTTACTTACCACTTGAAATACATCTTTTAAAATAAAACTACAAGAATATACATTTGACAATGAAGTTCTAAGCACTGATATTTTGAAATTTGAATATCAAGACAATCGAAATCTCTCTTGCGTGACCCTGTTCTAGACGGGGAATGTTTACACTGTATGACAGTTCTTGTGATTTTCTCTCATTTTTAAGGTTGCATTTCTACGTATTCTCGGCACTGATTAATAAGTTCTCATATTCCGTCACACACCATGTCGGAATCCTATGGTAAGAGCTGATATCGATGATTGTCTATGGTAATATATTTGAAATAATGAGGTTAGTTGTAGAAATAGATAAAGTTTTATCAAAGGCGTTGTAAAAACTCTTGAGGGAAATTTTTCTTCGTCTTTAAGGTTCCCACGAAGGTAATAGATTTAATATTAAGAAAACAGATTATTGTGACGTCCACTTTTATTGTGGGTGGAATTTTTAAGAAGCTTAGAATTTTCCTCTGACAAGTCTTATATTGTTAATAATTACACGAATTTGTCAAACTGTTTCTTTCAAAGATGGGATAAGGTAATAGTAAATATTGTCCAATGCAATGGTTGTTAACCATTTTAGCATCAAACCCCCATCAAATAGTTGAACCTTGCTTCCCTCCTCATATTTTTTACCAAAAGACTAAAAATCCTCTAGAATGGAAATAATCATTGAACGTGACACAGGCAGCACTTTTGTAACTGCAACACTTGTTAACCCCTTAGTGAGGGGCATGCCTGTAGTCGTCATGACGTATGACATGTATACACGTCATAACTCGCTCTAGAGAGTGAGCATGTGGGCTGGCTGTACACAGCACCTTCCCAGCCTGCTACTGTGTAATTATTATGTCACAGGAAATTCTGGCCCAGACATGATAGGGTTAACAGAATTCCTAATAAGATTAGAGAAATTCCATTTTTTTCCTGTAGCTCTTCCTTTCCCAATTTTATTCACTTGACATACCCCTGAAATTAATACCCAGGGCTATGATGGCCATGAAATGTTTATTGCAATTCAGTTATGCTATTTTTTTTTTTTTCTTCTTACTGAAGAAACATGTATTAGTCATAATGTATATGATTTGTATATTATTGAAATAAGGGTTGATTTTATTTTGTTCTGCCGAGAAGATTGAACTGAAGTAGAGATTTTACTTGATGAAAAAACAAATTGTGTAAAATTGATTCTTTCCAATTATAAAATCAAATTTCATTGCAATATACTCACCCACATGACATACTCTGTACAGTAATCATGGTTACATTGATGCCTTGTAGGCACTGTGGCAGGAAGGTCAACAGACATCCTCCTTGCATATTTTAGCTAGTTAGAGCTTAGGAATGGTTACTTATTTAATGATGTCTTTTGGTTAATTTTACACAATAGTTCTGCATGACGGATCACAGCAATTTTGGTTTCAATGGATTTCTAACACTCTCTACTGTCCAAATATATAGAAATTATTGTGATGACCCCCCACCCCACCCCCCACTAGTGACAGTCTTGGAACTGATAGCAGGGGAGGGCATGAAAGGTACCAGGGAATTTATGGGATAAAATATGAATGAAATACACAGAATCAGTCACTATATTCCTTAATGCAGGGGGCTGTGCCCCCTGCAACCCTTCTCCTGGGGCCTGCCACCCACAAACCCCAGCAATAGAAGACAAAAGGCATCTTTTCCGGTGGCAATTAGGGTGTCGCGAGACGCGCCACAATACCAATAGCTGTCTCGTGATCGGAGGCGAGACAGGCCTCTAAGCTCTGCCCATTTGTGACGTAATGGGAATGATCGTTGTTGACGGCTTGCTATTTTAATGTACTGGTTATTTTTCCGACAGGTACACAGTATTTTGGAATATGATATCCAAGATGGCTTTTGATATCTAATGCTGGGTATTGCGGTGTTATAGATATCCAATACAAGTACGAATATGCATGAAATATCCAAAGTAGAAGGAATGCATCTGGCAACTTGATTAAAGTTAACCGTCTGCTCGATTCTTGTCGCGCAAGAGGTGTTGCATTTCTCGTAACTGCTGGAAAAGATGCCTAAAGAATCTACCACATATTCACAGTAGGGTAGAGCTTAAGACCAACATGCGGGAGCACCCGATGCCGCGTCAGTCTGACACTTTCTCCTGTCGTGAATATGTGGAGCATTCTTTGTTTTCTTAGGCGGTGATTGGTGGACAACAGCCTCCAATGGGGAGGTCGCAAAGGGCACAGCCAACAGCATTAGAGAATATATTGACCAATTCTATGTATATTATTCATATTTTACCCTGCAAATTCCCTGGTACCTTACATACCTTCCCCTGCTATCAGGGCCAAGAATGTGGAGATTTGGGGGGTTTAGGGGGGTTTCCATGCAATAATTTCTATATATTTGAATACAAGAGAGTGGCCAATCTGCTGTGTGAAACTATTGAGTAAAATTACCATTCCTGGTTATAGTGTCAGAGTATAGTAGCTAAATTCTAGATTTTTCAATTCCATGTGACTTTTGATCACTCTTAATAAGTAAAGAGCAACTGGCAGCTCATTCAACTTTTACTTTTTTCTCCTGTCCCATTAGAAGTACATCATATTCTTCATGATTTTATAGAAACATATTTAGTATTTACAACAGGTCACCGTGCCGTAGCCCTTCATGGCACAATGAATCATCCTTAGTGTTTGAAATTATCAGATAGTCAGCAACAATCAATCATCTTGATGCATTTCATCTGCATGGTAACCTCCTTTAAACAAGCTGGACATTTGTGGGTATGTGCGACATAATCATTGATCATAGTTTAATTTAAAAGAAAAATCATTTATTAATGATGTTGTCCACTTCTGGTTTAGCTATCTCTTTTTCCCCATGTCCGAAAGTCCCTCCATATATCATCATCGTGCATCACCAAAGTATAGTTGTCTGGGCTCTATCTGCCGGAACATAAGACTGAGGGGAATTTCAGCTCGGAGTGAAAGAATTCTTGCCACGCTGGGAGAATTAGCACAAGGTATCCAACAAAATTGGTGCCATATTGTTGTCATGGTACTTAAAAGATTAGAAACAGTAATAGAAAGCTGCATTTCATTTTCAAAGTATTAAATGAATTTATCAACATGCATTTAATTATCTGAAGTAATAAATAAACATACCTGTCTTTTTGTTTCATTAGATAATGAATTCTATGAAAACATCTACTGGGAGTTTTGTAAAATATTTTGATGAAGTATTGAAATAGAGTAAAATAATTAAATAGACTTATTATACATGATTGAGAAACTAAATTGATTATTTAATTACTAAAAGTTTATATCAAAATAATGACATTTTCAATCTCAGTGCATCCCTGCATGCATCAGTGATTGAGTTTCCAGATGCTATGTTTTGGACAAAATACTTGGTTGTACAATTCTATTTGGTGTACTCAATATCCCAAACCAGAGACAATATAGCACCTCCACACAAACCTTCATGATACAAGAATGAGCTTTGAACAGCCTCAAATAGTCAAACTTCCTGAACCCCAAACAATAAGCATTCTTGTTGACCTACATTCAAATCCCCTGCTGCCAGTGGATGGTAATCGCAGCCACTCCTTGAACATGGGGTAATTTCGAAGCAAAATAAACAGACTGATTGTCATACCAAACAGAATAACCATTGTCACAAATGGAACAAACTAAATTGTTATTATTAATATAATAGTGGCAGTATATATATACAAATACAAATATATACAAATATACAAACTTGACCTTTCTAAAGTATACACGGTTGAGGTCTGTTTGCCAGAGTAGTGACAGCACTTTAGCTAACGGTTGATGTTTTAGTGCTTGCAAGGATTTTTCAGTGGTTATTGGCATTTATGAATGGAAGTCTCATTAGGAATTACTTTTTCATATTACAGTATTTTTCTATTCATATGAAGGATATAGTAGGCCCCCAATATTCATAAAGGTTACATTCCTAGATTGCTCATAAATGTCATATAGGTTTTCTGATCATGGTAGCTTAGTGCTAGATGGTACTGGTCCCATTATTCACAAGGCCAATTTATGTGCTCAAACCATCATAATACCTTGTTAAAAGAAAGTGCTCAAGGACATCATACCTATTTTGAATGCCCATATATAACTGTAGTTTCCATATTTTAAGAAAACATGTTTGCTATACAAAAATAGCCAGTAATGACAAAGAAATATTGAGAATTTATTTATCATTTACCAATGTTATATGAGTATAAGTGATAGTGGCTGAAGGATGGGCAGGTATGAAATTACCAGGACCTAGCCAATGGGACTTTAATCCGTTTATTCTAGTGGTTTAAAAGTCGCATGTTGCTCATGTTCGGGTCTACATTTTTTGCTCTCTCTCTCTCTCTCTCTCTCTCTCTCTCTCTCTCTCTCTCTCTCTCTCTCTCTCTCTCTCTCTCTCTCTCTCTCTCTCTCTCTCTCTCTCTCTCTCTCTCTCTTTCTCTTTCTCTCTTTCTCTTTCTCCCCCCCCCACACATACATGCACGCACATATGAGAGAGAGAAAGCGAGAGACAGATGCAAAGATTGTCAAATATGAAATTGTGTAAAGATATTTGGTGTAAAATTGTTGAGAAGTGAAGGAGAGAGAGGGGGGGGTTATGAGGACAAGGAATGAACCAGGGAGGGGGGAAGTGCCCCCCTGTAGAATCTACCAATGATAGTTCCTCATTTTGGGTATGGGGTGAGGCATATCTAGCTGATGTACATGATTGGTGGAAATAAGGATGGTGGGTGGAGTTACAAAATCTCTAGGGCAGTGTACGTAGTCTAACAATAGATCCAGTACAGAATACAGTATCACTCAGCAACACCTAAAATCAAATGGAATTATGACACCAACGGTGGCATCACTGTATGTTCCAAGTGCACTTCGTGATGCTGGTGTCAGTGTCACTATATAAAATAGGTTGAATTAATCATGAATATAGTACGTGATTTTGCACTTATTATGTAGGTATGCATTATATTACACTAGGCTATGATAATGATCTCATTTTGTGAGTAGTGGGTTTGAATTACAAAAATAAATCTGCTCTTCAATAAAAAAAGGGGATATGTATTGATACTTAAAATCAGCTGCCTGTTGCAGCATGAAGTATCCCAAAACCTTGCTTGTTGTTGTGGAGAGGCTTAGGAGACAGAGACTGGATCCCAAGGTAGGGAATTTCCCCTACTTTGGGCTTCAGCCCTCGCCTCAACTAATATTGCTTTGTCTTTTCTTCTCCTCCCTTCCCCTTTCTTATATTCTTCATCCCCTTCTTTTATCCCATTCCCAAGGTTTGAGAGCCCTGCTGAAAGGATGAAAGGCTGGCTTTATGCCAGTCATGAACGGCCTTTGGGAGCCATGGGCACAGTATTCCCTTGGTCAGTTGCATAGCCCTTAAACCTAATGGGGACCATGAGGGGTAGACTGTTCCTTTTCTCATTTTATGCAGGCTCATCAAGGCCAGTAATGAAGAATCTTTACCCATAATAGAGGCATTAAGGCTTACCCCTTCATCAACTAGCTTATCTGATTTCGATTTCGATGGTTTTCCGACCCCTGTCCCTCCTTTGACCATGGCTCCGACCACTGATACTAGTACCCCCTCCACAATGTTAACTGAAAACTTGATCCATTCTAAACCACCCACCAAGGTTATTACTCAACCTCCAGAATGCATGCCTTCCTGTAGCTGCAAACCTTTTGAGTGCTCTCTTTGACTCAGCTAGTTGGGATCGATTCTTTGTGATTCCCCCCATACTCCCTTCTCTGAGAATAGTCTTCTCTCAACAGTCCCTCCAAAAACAAGTAGGCAAAGTTACCTTTCGCAGTTGCTCCGGTCATTCACTCCTAGTCACATTTATATTGGAATCCCAAGCTTTTACACTATCTAGCCTAACTGACCTTACTGGCAAACCCATTTCTGCCGAACCTCACCTCTATCTTAACCCACTAACGACGGGTGTCCCACATATGAGACCCGAAAAAATGAACATCATCGGGCGTCCCGCCAGTGTGACGCTGTATTGGGGTTCGCACTCCGACGCAGCAACGGGCTGCGGCTGGCGCGCGGGCAGAGTCCGGACCAGCCCGGCATGCTGATTTTTCCGGAATCTTTTATTTTCGGCTTCAAAATAAATCGGCGTTAATGGGTTAATACTTGTACTGGAACTGTTTCTATCCCCCTGACTGATTGTCCCATATATGACAAGACCTGGTCAAATTGTGAAAACTACCTACTTACCTGCTTTGCTGATTATGATGCAGTAGCAGTACAGTGCTACACTATTCCTCCCAGAGGCCAGCGTAAGTTCCATGTCAGTATTACCAACATTAGCTTTTGTAGACATGACCTCCCTAATGAATTTAATTTGGTGGATTGTCCTGCCATGTCCAACCATATCGACTCTTTCCATGTCATTGTCAGAAATGTTGGCGTTTTGGCCACCCAGCCAAACACTGTCGGTCCACAGCCCTCTGCCCCCAGTGTGTCCAACCTGATCATGTCCTTTCAGTCATGTACATGTGCCAGATGTATTTTATAGGAGCTACAATGCTTATAAGTTTGAATGTAAGGTAGCAGTTCTCAGATTCAAACCAGGCCTCACTCTTTGTGAAGCAAGACAGGAAGCACAACAATGAAGTTTTTCTCTCTCTACCTATTCCAAAACAATCTTTTGCTCTGCACTCCCCCCTCATCTCCACAAGATGTTTCTGCATCTCCCCCAGTATCTCTTCCCTCTACCCTGAACCATCCTACCTGTACTCTTCTTATCCCTCAGTCAAATCCCTTTTCCATTCTAAATCCAGATACTCAATCTCTACCACTTTATTGATTCCTACCCTTCCTCTCCCTCACTTTACCCGTCTCCAGAGAAACCTAACGTTCTCATCTTCACCTTCCACACCCTCCTACACCCTCCTTTTCCTCTACACCTCGGACATCTATCCCCTCTTCTCCTCCTCACAAGAGATCCTCTGTTTCTCAGACCTCCCTACCCAAATCCCCTCCAGAAACTCTTGAAGACTTCCAAAAATTCCCAGACATGACCCAAGAAAATGTTCTGCTCCCTCATCCACCCCTAAATCCCTGTTCCTAGCCCCTCTACATTCAAAGTATTTGCAGATGTCCATTCTCTTCCCCTGCAAGTTCCCCCTACCCCTCTTTCTACTCTTTCCCAACAGACCCCATCCTCTCCTTCTCCATGTACCCCTTTCCTTTTTGTTCTCCATTATCCTTACCTCTCCCACCTGGATACTCAAGTGAATCCCTTCTGTTGCAACAGTGTCCTTCTCCAGATTCCTCCCCTCCTGATACTTCACCTCCTTCCCCAGTCCCCTTATCTCATCCCCCAAACTCTTCTCTAACAGCCATCTCTACCCATTGATTATTTCATAACAGCTCTTTTACCAGTTTTTCTGTAAAGCAATGTTACTATGGCTTCCCCAACAACAGATACACCCCATTCTATCCAGTCACCCTTTACCTTTAACCCTTTCCTTTACTGATGTCTGATTTTCTTCATTACCCTCTTCCCAATCATACTATCCTATAACACTATAACCTTTGACATTTAACACTCGTCATACTAATGGTTAACTCATTTACCCTTTTCACCATTTTGCAGATTCTAAATAACTGCTGCATTAAATGCTGAAATGTAGATGCCTTTTCACCATAGTGCTGTATGGCCTTAGATATCTAACACATTTATTTGTTTCAGCCAGTAACCATTAACAGCACCATGAAGATGCCCACACTCGGTATTCTACTATAGTTTTTGAATATATTTATTTGTTGTTAAATACTGTACGCATTTGATGATTGTATGTCGTTCCTAGTACTTTGTACTTTTAATTTTTATTTGATAGTTTTTGTGATATAATTGCGTTATAATTTTTTCACAGTATTTTCAGTCTCATATATTATCTCTGATTTAATTTTTATTTTATTTATTTATTCATTTCTTTCTTTTTTTCTTTTTTCTTTTTTCCTTTTCTTTTTTCTTTTTTTGATATATGATTAATTTATAACTTACCATAAATGTTGAGACCCAACTATTCTATACTAATGAAGACTGTATTGGCAGTTCGGGATTCCAAAATGTGTCAAACGCATAATTTGTACAGTTACTCTTTTTTTTATATATATAATGAAGTGAATATGCATGCATATAAATATCATTCAGATTTATGTGGTACTTATTTTTATGATACTAGCATTTATGTCACAGGTGTGTATAATGCTAATACTTATAACATAACTGCCATCTATATGATACTAAAGCAAATGTCTTTAATGATTTGTGTCTTCTCATTATTAACATCTTTTCGTGTACGAGTGTCATACCTTTGCCACATTGTAGATTTACCATTCATAGCCAAAATATTTCATAGACTAAGATAGTATTTGGTTTCTGTTAAGATAGTAATCTAATTTAGGACTTGAGCCAGATTAAATTTATAATCAAATTTGGTGGTCATGTGCTTACTGTATGAATATAATTGGAATACAAGTTTCAGTAATATCCAACTTCTGGATTGTGTAAATGAATATTAGAAATAAATGAGCAGTAGAGCAACTGTACCTGTGAAAGTGTGTGTATTTAAGTGATTGTCCATGTGAATAATATTTAGCTTAGGAATTGTATACTTACAGAATTGAGATCGGATAAATGCATAATGAAAAGTAACATTTTACTGTATGCCTTTAGAAAATTAAAAACTGTATTCTTAATGTATATATGATATACACTTGTATTTTGAAACTAAAAGATTTCCATAGTGATAAAAGTTAAATAGTTATCATATTTTCATGTAGGCAAATTGAAACATGCTGAGCCCTTTTCATAGCTTCGTTGGAAACAATGAGGTCAAGGTCGTGAAATTAGCTAAATGTATAATTGTTTTAAGTATACCTGGGTAAGACTATGTTATATACTTTCTTTACTTTCATTATATTATACAAATTGTTTGAATTTGATATGCTTACGATATTAATTCACTGAAGAGCCAAACACATTGAGTAACTTCTGTTATAGGAATAAGACTTCAGAACATTTTAGTTTTACTTCTCTTGTTTAAAAAAGTATATGAATATCAATTAATTTTCAGTTTATTTATTTCAGATTTTCTTTTCAAATTCCTGGTAATTGGGAGTGCCGGGACAGGCAAATCTTGCCTTTTGCATCAGTTTATTGAGGGAAAATGTAAGTATCGGAGAAGGTAGTGTTACTCTTTGTAAATTTCAATATCATTATATGAAGAGTATTGGATTGAATGGCAAATGGAACAAGATGTTGCAGATTTGATACTTGCAATATAATTGATTATGGCTAAATGGCAAATTCTTCACTGCTTTCCTATCTCCTTTGTCTTTTGATTTTAGAAAGGTTGTATGATTTGGTTTTGTTGTATTACATTCATCCGTAGACAAGCTTTCTTTCAGCATGAGATATAGGTGCATATTTTTGAGTTTTTTGGGAGGGGAGTAATTGAATATTGGTCTATACCTGATTTTGCATGTTTGTGTTAGGTTTGTTCAGAGCAAAACAGATTGAGTGTGAACAACAGTGGATATCAGAGAGAGAGAAAAACAGACAGACAGACTGAAATAGATGGTGAGAGGCAAAGGCAATGACAGAGAGTGCTAGTTAGAGACAAGAGACAAAATGAGAGAGAGAGAGAGAGACGGAGACAGAGGCAGACGCAGAGAGTGCGGGACAGTGACAGAGAGTAAAAGTATGAGCTAGAGAGACAAAGATACAAGGACAAGGACATGACTGATAGTGAAAATAGGAGACAGAGACTGAGAGTTAGAGACAAGAATGAGTGAGTTTGTGTTTGTCTCTCTGTCCGTCTCTTTTGTAAGTATCCCACTTACGGACACGTGGTACATTACTGTAGTCTTAGGTACCACTGTCCTTATCCAACATGTAAGTCAATACTATATATCACTATCTTTTTACTTTTGATCTATCTTGAATATCATGTTAAATTGTAGAGTGCATTTTTTATGAACTTAGTAAAATGAACTACTGTAGTTACAAAAAGGACATAAAAAGAATAACTTCTTATTTTGAAATTCTTTTGTTAGATGATGTATTCTCTATGTACTACACTAAGTAAAACCTTTAGTCTTTCCTCAAGATCCATGATTATTACAAAAACTTGCATCTAACTATTTCACAGGTTCATGATTTAGGAACGATAATGTAGTCTAGATTTGTCTGGAATTTTCTTTTAGATAGAAAGTCTATTTTTATCAGTGAAAAAACTTGATTAAGCAGATACAAGCAAAATGGAAGTGTGATAGGTTAACATTTGAGAACATTATTGTCAGGATGCTTTTAAGTGAGACAGTTGCATATCCGTTGTTGCTAAATTTATTTCTTATTACCATTAATTATGGTAAGATTTAAAGCAAATTATGTG